AAAGTAGATATCTCTAAAATTTCTTTTCAGGTTTTGCTTTAACTAAATAAACAATGATCCATGTTTATGTAATTTAAGAATTTCAAAAAGTCGTTGATTAGTACCAATATAAAATTTTAGAAGTTGTACCTTGTATTCGCATCAATGGATTGTGATTACAAAGGATCATATATAAAGTACTTCTTCGGTCTTTAATATAAGATCTAATTGTTGAATTAATCTTAGTTTTAAATGTAAAACATATTTCTCATATTTATTTTTTTTTTTAAAATTGTCTGATACTCTTCCAATCACAATCAAGTAGAAGGGAAAGATGAGATATTAAGAAAGATGATTATAGTGATTTAGGTAGAAAAAAACATATCATATTGCTTATAATTAACTAACTCCTTATTTTTTTAATTTAATCAAATTAGTTAAATAGGTCTTATATTAAAGACCAGAAGAATACAGACTTGGCTTAAATGCACGCACAAGACCGATTGTGACTAACAAGTCAAGCACCCCAATATTTTCCATATTTCCAAAGACTTCTGAAGTATTTGTTTGTTTCTTTGACATCTTCTGGCTAACGTTTTTTATGGGTAATCTCTAGTCATAGCCTGCCAAACTGGACCACAAAATGGAAGTTGTTTCGTGCGAAATGGTACATGACTTTGAGGTCTACTTACAAGTCAGTCATTCCATGTAGCTATGAATATTGGGTGGTTGGTATAATGAAGTCCTTAGACTTTTGATATATACGTTTGTGAACGGTAGGGACAGGATATGGCCTGCAAGATTGATTGTAAGCGAAATAATACGGTGAAAAAAGTACTCTTTTTGTCCTCAATATAAGATCTAATTGTTGAATTAATCTTAGTTCTAAATGTAAGACATATTTCTCATATTTATTAATTTTTGTTAAATTGTCTGATACTCTTCCAATCACAATCAAGTAGAAGGGAGAGAGGGGATATTAAGAAAGATGATTATAGTGTTTTAGAGAAAAAAAACAAATCATATTACTTATAATTAACTAACTCTCCTTATTTTTTTAATTTAATCAAATTAATTAAGTAGGTCTTATATTAAATACTAGAAGAATACAGACTTGGCTTAAATGCACGCACAAGACCGATTGTGACTAACAAGTCAAGCACCCCAATATTTTCCATATTTCCAAAGACTTCTGAAGTATTTGTTTGTTTCTTTGACATCTTGCTAACGTTTTTTATGGGTAATCTCTAGTCATAGCCTGCCAAACTGGACCACAAAATGGAAGTTGTTTCGTGCGAAATGGTACATGACTTTGAGGTCTACTCACAAGTCAGTCATTCCATGTAGCTATGAATATTGGGTGGTTGGTATAATGAAGTCCTTAGACTTTTGATATATACGTTTGTGAACGGTAGGGACAGGATATGGCCTGCAAGATTGACTGTAAGCGAAATAATGCAGTAAAAATGAAAATGTGGTTTAAGAAATTAAACAGAAAAAGGTTCTTCTCATCATCAACATTATTTATGGGGTTATTCTATAACCTATACAGTACGATGAAAATAAAAATAATTTCCTTGATGTGATAACAAGCCATTTGTAGTTCTTCATCATGATTTTCTTTTTCCTTCATCACATCAACTTCTACTAATGACCACTTAATGTTTGAAAAATCTACCATGCTTATGCCTAGTGAGTGCTCTTAATTAAATAAACATTATTTGACTATTAATGAGTGTACTAATAAAGGGAAAATAATAGAGAAATCATTTAATTTATCTTATTGAAATATAAATGAGATTTATTATGAAACATGTAAAAGTTTTTGTGACATTTCTTATGAATTGAGGGAGTAGCTTAGTAGTACATACCAAATGGGTCCTTAGTCATATTGAAACCTAAAAAGGCTACGTACAACTCCACTTTACAACTCTACTTCTAACGAAAAGAGCATCTTATTAAGCTTGAAACTTCTATAAATGGTATCTTATAACTCCTCTTGATTAATTTATAATTAAATATTTACTTAAGGATAATTTTTTAAAAGTAGTAATTTTATAACAATTTATATTATAAAAAATAAAGTATATTCTCTCTATCCATTATGATCGAGTAAATAATTAAAGATTTTTTTCCCTCTTCCATTCATGCTTTCTCTTTATTTGGTTGTTAACCCATAAATTTATTTGGGATTAGTGTTTTGCCAATGTCATTGTTTGGCTAGTCTCAGAAATTAAGATGTTATTTATATGCTTTAAAATTAAAACACTTGAAAGATTAATAAGTTTACTCTTATAGGACTTATTGGAAATTTCTAATTTTTTTTAATAACTTTAAAAACTCCTCAAATTCTTCCAAGAACATATTCTTTAAATTCTTAGAACATGTTTAGTTGGTATTTTCTAGGATTTAGATTTAGATTATATATTGTCTTCCCTTTTTTTCCCACGTGACTTCTTTATACTCCCAAATCAAATAATGTAATGTTAAATTCATGGTCATCTACTGAATTTCTATAGTGTTAATTTAAATTTAAGATTAAGATCTATTATGCAATTTTATGCTTTTAGATTAGTTTGCACATGTTTGTTTTTATTTTATTTCCTATGGCATGCATGCTTCTTAATTTGATCTTTAGTATAACATACGGTGTTTCATTTTCAGCCTATTGGTGCGAGAGCACCATATCTTCTTTCTCAATTTAATTATCGACAGAATAAACATTTTTTAAAGGAATTAACTAAAAGTTTTAGAATCTTCTAAGAGATGATTTCATACTTTACTAGCTAACATTTTTATTGATTATTTCAGACTTAATATTCGGGAAAAATTTGATAATATCTGAAATTCCATTCATGCTTTGCTTTAATTTAAAAATAACCTTGCCTATATAATTTTAAAGATTTCAAAATTCATGAATTATTTCTTTTCGATGTGTAAAAAAAAGCATCAATTATTTTTTCTGGTGTATAAAAGTTCATCAATTATTGCTAATATAAAATTTAACACATAACCAAATGAAGCTGTTTCCGGTCAGATGAATTGTAACTACAACTGCAAATTTGACTTTAATGCACAATAGACAGATTGTGTTTTGCAAGTAAAACATGCTAGTAGTTTCTCTATTTCCAAAGACTTTGATATATTTATTTGTTTCTTTGACATCTTCTTGGTAGCTAATTTCTTTGGGTAATCTCTAGGTATATTCACAAAAGTATTTGAAGAGTAACCGCTAAAATGATTTTCATTTCAACAATAAAATTCAAACTTGACACTCCTTTAAAATATGTGCTATATTATATTTGTATAAACTAAACCAACTTTAATTTTGTTAATATGTTATCCTTCAATATGATTTTCAAAATGCTTTAAAACAATTGCACAAATGATCCCTTCAAATTTGTGGCATAGAAAGTGGATTATCAGATTGAGTTTCTGTGCCTTTTGAAATATACATACAAAAATACAAACTTTTTTTTTTTGCCACATACAACAATCTATAAAATTGGAAAAAAAAAATAATTAAATTCTGCGCTATTCATATGTTTTTGAAGTCAACAGTGGTATTCTCTTTTGGGTAAACTAAAATGATATTACCAAATCAAAATTACGAACACACGCACACACGAGTTGATTCGTTTGAAATTGAGTGTGACTTTGAGGTCTACTTACAAGTCAAGCGCTCCATGTACCAATGCATACGTACAATCAATTAAAGTTTGTAGACTTTTGATAAACATTTTTTTTTTGGTTACAGACTTTTGATAAACATTTTGTTCATGCATGCTTCTTCCCACTAGTAATTATAATTTTTTTTTCTCTGTCTATGGCCTACAAGACTGACCATAAATGAAATAATGCAATGGAAATGAAAATGCGGTTCAGGAAGTGGAATTATACTCTCTCATTACTAACGTATTTATGGGGTCATTTCATCAACTTGTTTTTGGGGATAACTTTAATTTTTGGAATGCCGATTTCATCTATGCTCAACTCTTTGTTGGTATTAACTGGAATATATTTTGGTTTAGTGGTTGGTCAATATCTTTAATTTGTTTAGCTAGTCTTAAAGAAATTCAGATGTTATTTACACTTAGCTGTTATTTATAAATTTATTTTTGTGGATGTATTTTTCATTTTGAAAATTCCCTAATTAAAATAAATTGAAGGCTGCTTTTAATAAAATAGATGATACACTAGTTGAAAATTGCAAATTGAGACTACATCAAAATTAACATTTTAAAAAAAGGATAAGGTGATTAAATTCTCTAAAAGTATTCACACAAAAAACCCTGCATCTGAAGGTTTTTTGTCCCCCCTCTTATCTGCCATTATATAAATTTTTTTTATCTGTTATTGTATAAATATATGTATTATAACATGTTGTTCAGATTTGAGTTATTAGGTGTACAAAATAATCTTTGAGTTTCCATCCTGGAGCGTGTAATCTTGGCAAATACCATTTTTAATTATACAATTTACTTTACTATATGTGTATTGAAATATTACCTGGCAAAAAAAATGTTTATAGAAATATTAAAGCCACGCAAGACAAACAGAAGAGAATATAAATCAATTTTAAATGAAGTACAATACAAAAAAGTAAACAGCTTTTATTATTTGGAAGTCTGTAATTAATCACAATCACGCAATATATTTTATTTTAGTGTTCACTTTTTTATGGTTATTTTTTAATGCAGTCACGAGAGATGTCATTTTGCAATTTGAAATTTAACGTCCTCGCCTTGACTTTGATTTAGAATTGGAGAAGTATAAATGGACGTGTTTGTTAATCGCTGGATGCACAACACTTGCGAATTTGATAAGTCTGCTGTGCAAAACATGGAAAAACCTCTTCCCTTTGTTTTCCTTTTCTTTCTTCATTGCTTCATGTCTTGCTTAGCTTGGAGTCAAACAAACATGACTAGCGACATATCTGCACTTCTTTCCCTTAAATCCTATATCACTTTAGATCCACACAATTTCTTAGCTAATTGGTCTGTCTCTTCTTCTCCTTGTAGTTGGGCTGGTGTCACCTGCAATACTCATCATGGAAGGGTCCATTCCTTGATTCTTCGTAGCATGGATCTTAAGGGTAGCATATCTCCACAGCTAGGAAACCTCTCCTTCCTAGTTGATCTTGATATCAGTAAAAACAACTTTCATGGTCCAATTCCTCAAGACTTGGTTCAATTACGTCGATTGAGACTGTTCAACTTGAGCTATAATGACTTTCACGGACAAGTTCCAACATGGATAGGAGATTTATCTCTACTTGAGCAGTTGAGTTTTCGAAATAACAGTCTCAATGGGTTTATTCCATTATCTCTATTCAATCTATCAAGGTTGGAGACTTTGGATTGGAACTCTAATATCATTGAAGGTACCATCCCACCTGAGATAGGAAGTCTAAAGCAATTGAAGAATTTACAACTTTCAAGGAACAAACTTTCAGGAGCAATTCCCCAAACAATTTTCAACTTATCTTCACTTGAAGTGCTATGGTTGTCTTATAATAATTTGTCAGGTATGTTTGTATTAATTTTTATATTTATATTTGTGTTTGCTCAAAACTAGTCTATTTATTCATCTGGATATAAACTCTCAATAATCATGTGTTTGGGTGCGTTGAATGTGGTTTTTCTTTAATGATCCTTTGTTCTAATTTATAAAGTAGGGTGATAAAGCATAGAATTCAAGTTTTCATTATTAATATTGAATAACTCAGTTCTAATATTGATTTTTTTTTTGTCGATCTATGCAAATTATATCATTGTGAAAGAAAAATTTGTTTAAATTCTTAGGAATTACTTAGGTCATGACGTTTTAGAAGATATAGAATGGGTTTTATTTGTCATTACATACCAAACGGTTTTTGAGGATACTCCAAACCGCAGAAGACTTGTTCCTAAAAAATGCGACTTCTGCATTTTTTTTTTTTAGCATTTTATATTGATGAGATTTTTTTTTTCAATTTTTGAAATAAAAAGCTATGGCGAGTTGAATTTTAGAAGTTTAAAATAGTTAAGACGTGCTTTATGGCGATCCCTTATTCGAAACGTGCTTTGAACACATGGCACCAGCTGGGATTCCTTCTTTCTACTTTTTTGGTATTTTTCATTTCCCCCCATATTTCCTTTTCAATGGCAAGTTTTTTTGGTTTTCTTTTGTTATAGACAAGCCACTAGAATTTAATAAACACACATAATTATTATGCTTAGAGTGTGTAAAATTCGTAAATACCATTTTTTACTGTATGTTAATTGAAATTTTAAAAGGGCCCCATACACCGCTCCCTAGAGTCACAAGGAATTAAAATGTTGGAGTATTTCTTACTTTTATTAATGATATTTCTATCTTGGGTCACTTGTAATTAGCTGTTTATATTTAGCGACATCCTTATAAACCGAATAGTCTGTTTATTTATATATTTATTTTAGCTTCTCAAACTTTAAAAAAAAAAAAAACTTTAGATGTATTGAAAACAAATATAGCACACCACTCTAATTAATTTTAATTTGACGTAAATCACGAGAGATGTCATTTTCCCGGTTTGAAATTGAGTTTGCACTCCTTGACTTTGATTTGGGATTGGAGAAATATAAAATGATGTGTCTATTAATTTTTGGATGCTCGACACTTACAAATTGAATTCTCTATTTTTATCTTAATTATAACAGTTTGTTAGGTATGTTTTGAATGATTCTGGGGTTGTCTCCGTTTTTTTCTTTGTTTTTTTTTAGTTGTTATATTTTTGTGCATTTCTTACTGTTTTTTCCATCATTTTTCTATTCTTCTTAAAAGAATAAAAAACAATTTGGCATCCCAATTTTGAGATGGTTAGTAACCCTATACCATAGGGAAAAAGACTATTGGTATAATATTAGTCTGACGAGATCTTTTAAGGCTCATTATCAATCTTTGAAAACGATATTTATTATTATCATGCTATGACAAACTTTTTGAAGTTTTTTTAATTTAAAAAAAAAAAAAGAGTAAGCCTTACCAGCAACATGTTCGGAAAATGGAACATTTAATTTTAATTTGGATAATATAATTTCATGATATATTATTCACTTTTATTTTAAATAAGTTTGTAGATAACAAAAATAATTTTTTCGGAGTCTTCCAAAAAATATGTCCTTTGAAAGAAATGATGAATTGGCGTAAATCGGAAAAAGTAACAAAAATAAATTTAAATTAATCAAAATTACAGAAAAATAAACTGAACTGAAACATAAAGCAGTGGGATGAATCCCCATATCCAAAATATTTATTCTATGTTATTACCTGAGCTGAACGGAAAGGGTTATTTCTATTTTGAAAATAAGTATCGTTGTGTTTATTATTTAGAATGTACTAATGTTATTTCTCATATAAGAGCGCAAGTCTTACTATGTGTTTTCAAAAATGCAAATATGTCTCATGTACATAATATTTTTATCAACTACACAATGATCTTGAACTGTCCCTATATAGGACTTAGCTAGCTGGTGACGGATTTGATTTTTGAAAATAATTATATTTCTTAACACTGTCAGCTTACCTTTGTAAGGTTATATCTTATCCTTGAGTATATTTTCAAAATTGTTTTCAATAAAAATGTAGACATAAAATTCAACACTTGATTGACAAATATAACTATGAATTAAAAATACATACTTTAAAAAAATCTTCGGTATGCATGGTCAAACCCAACAGCAAGGAAAACAAAAACCTTAAAGAATCCACACTCTTAACTTTTCTTTCTTTTACTTTCTAGCATTTAACTTAAATTAATTGTTGATTATGTCTTTCAATATTTATACAGTGAAATAATAATTTTTGCTATGCATATTAATTATTTCAACAGCGGATTATTTGATCATTTTATTATAGTTAATGCGCGTGCTATGAAAGTTCATATTAACATATTGTTTATCATTTAATATATTGGAAGGAGCCATTCCAAATGAAATTGGTGATCTTCAACAGCTTCATACAATATATCTTGGAAGTAATCAGCTTTCAAGCACTATACCAACCTCCATATTTAATAGTTCAGTGCGACAATACATTGCACTAGCAATAAATTATTTATCTGGGAGTCTACCAACAAATGTTTGTTCTGGGCTTCCACAACTCAAATTATTTTATGTGCATGGAAATGATTTGTCTGGCAAAATACCCTCCATTTGGCATCAATGCAAGGAATTGGTAGAGTTGTCATTGGGGAATAACAAATTCAATGGAGGAAACATACCAACTGACATTGGAAATTTGACCAAACTTGAGTCGCTATACCTTAGAAGCAGCAACTTGCAAGGTAAGAGCTTTAATTATGTGTTTGTCTAAAATTTTGTTTTTACTATTTTGATAAGTCATTAATTTAATTTAAATATTACAAATTTAGTCAATAATAATTTTGCTAGATTAATTTTAAAGACATGGAACTTGATGCTTTCTTTTAATCTCAAGCTGGATATGCTTTCTTTTGTATATAATTTAATTTTCACACATGTCAAAACATGAAATAAAATATTTAAAATGAACAAAAATAAATTAATCAAAATTTGTAATTAACTTTCATGTGGTGCAGCATTGCTTCCGTGTCAGTTATTTTCCCCTCCATTTTGTTGTTGGAGGCCAATTATCCAGTGTCATGCATGAACCCATTTCCACTATTGCTGAATAATAATTTTCACTTCTCTCCAATTTTTCACCGGCATTCCTTTACATTATATATGTACTTTATGCATATTATACAAAAGTATTATAAAATTTTTAATTTTCCTATTTACAAGTCCATTCAGTGTTTTCACAAGAAGAGTTGTTAATGAATTATATTTAAATGCGAACCTCTTTACAAGTATTGAGATTATTATTTTTTATTTTTCTTCTTTTATTTCCTTTTTCTAATATTCTTCAATAATAAAATAAATTTAAAATGACATATTATCTGTTATTTCCTTATCATCGTTCATTTTTCTAGTGGAGGCTTGAATATGGCTAATGATTTATAATAACAAAGCAGCAATGATTTTTTATTTTCTTTCTGGTGATATTTTCTTCATTTTGAGGAAAACAAAGAAGTGATTTTTTTTGTCCTTTCATTCATTCATTCATATTCTTCGTTCATATAATGGGACTTATTTTAAGCTTGTGATTACAATGCCAAAATAAATGAAAGATAAGATTAACAACCGATGGGACCGCTTGATATTTAAAATGTGTAAGACATTTTTTTTTTAAAATTTTACTCTTAACTATCACATCATTTATACTTTGATCAATAAAATGGCTTCACCACGTATAATTTTTCCAGGAATCATTCCAAGTGACATTGGAAGCTTGACAAACCTCCAGAACCTTGATCTTAGCAACAACAGTTTGCAAGATCAGAATTTTAATTATATGACTGTCTTGGATCATGTGTCTATTTTTGTTTTGTTTTAATCTAGGGATGAAAAATAATTTTAAAATTAGATTCTGTTTTTGTTTTTTTCATTCATTTTAAAGAATCATGAGAAGGTCTGCGTTCATGGGAAAAATGCTTACAAAGAGCCATAACTTATTAACAAGTACATGTAATGTACGTGTTTGTCTGTTCATAAAATGCGGTTTATCTATTTTTCTCTTTATTTGGGAAAATACACATCTAATGGTGATACTTTCTTTTAATCCCAAAAGTGAATATTGCTTAATGCATATGTACATGTTTGTAACATGCTTACAGTGTGTTAATTGAAATTTATACGTATACACATATATTCATGTCTCACTTATATTCGCAAGGTGCCTTGTAGTAGTTGGGATTCCTTCTTTCTCTTTTTTTTTTTTTTTTCTATTTTTCATTTCCCCCACTTTTTCTATTCAATGGCATGTTTTTTCGTTTACTTTATAGACAATCCACTAGAATTTAATAATCACACATAATTATTATGCTTAGAGTTAGAGCCGGGAAAACGGGCTGAGCCCATCGGGCCGGCCCGTTTAGGCCCTGAAATTATGACGGCTGGGCTTGATATTTTTCCCTTCAAATGGGCAATAAGCTCTGGAGGGCCGAGGGCTTAAAAGGGCCGGCCCTACCGCAAGCGGGCCCTTTTAAGCCCTTTTTATATTTTTTTTGTTTTTTAAATTTTTTTATATAATTATAATATTATTAATTTTTTACATTGTTAATAATATTTCAAATATTTAGTTATTATTATCATTTTAAAATTAAATTTAGTGTTAGACAATAATTTATCCAATTAAATTTTTAAAAAATGTGTTAATTTGGACTTTAATAATGATTTGATTTATATTATATGCGTTGATATTTTTAAACTATATATATATATATTTGATAATAGAGTATTTTTATACTTATATAATTTGTGATTCTATAATTTGAATTAGAAATTCATGAGTTTCAACAACAATGTTTCTCACATTAAAGTAAAATAAGAGCTAGATTGTACAATTTAAAAGTAAAATTCCTATAAAGAAGAAAAACTTAATATTTTTGTTACGAAAGAAAAGCATACTTATGAAGAAGAGTAATTAATTATAGTGATGATGAAGTTTCAAAAGATTAATGATAGTGTTTATTTATTGTACAATTGCACTATAGATAAAACTTTTGGATGTTGTTATCTTGTTAATAAATTTTTTAGATATTCTTGGATGTTGATGGATATTTATATATGATGATATTTTATATTTGTGACTTAATTTTATTCATATTTATGTCTTTTTTTAATAATTTCATTGGTTTATTTTTATTTTTTTATAAAAGTTATGATAAATATAAAAAATAGTATTTTTTTTTCAAACGGGCCAAAAATCCGCGGGCCAGCCCCTAAGCCCTGTGGCTTAAGGGTCGGGCCTAGCAAATTAGGGTATTTTTGAAACTTCAGCCCTGGAGGCCCGGTCCTTTTAAGCCCATCAGCCCTGAAGGGCCGGCCCTGATTCCCAGTTCTACTTAGAGTGTGTAATATTCGCAAATACCATTTTTTACTGTATGTTAATTGAAATTTTGAAAGGGCCCCATACAACACTACTTAGGGTGTGTTTAGATGAAACCAAACCGTGGTTTGGAAAAGTGATTCTGGAGAATAGATTTTGGGAAGAATAGATTCTGGAAAGAATAAATGTTATGAAAAAAGTGATTTTGAGAAGTGAGAGTGTTTGGATAGTTGTTATCAGAAGCACTTTTTATATATACAAATCACTAAAAAAAAGACATAAGTTAATATGATAATTACAGAAAAAATAGATTTTATGATATATTTTAATTTGAAGAAATAAAATTGTTAATAATATATTTTTTATTAACATAATCAATAATACATAAGATAATATAATTAATAAATAATTAATATGTATATATATTTATAAAATATAAGATTAAATATGTTTATAAAAAAATATGTTTATAAAAAAAAAACAAGATACATATCTTATAAGCTCTCACACTCTCCCTTTTTTCTCCAAAAGCAAAAAATTTTTGCTTTTTTCAAAACCATGGTTTTGGAACCAAAACCACGGTATTGGCCCAAAACCACGGTTTGTGCAAATTGGATGGGTGTTTGGGTGACTTATCACCCAAACCATGGTTTGGGGTGTCACCCAAACGGTGCCTTAGAGTCACAAGGAATTAAAATACTGAAGTATTTCTTATTTGTACTAATGATATTTCTATCTTGGGTCACTTGTAATTAGCTGTTTATATTTAGCGATATCCTTATAATCCGAATAGTCTACTTATTTATATATTTATTTTAACTTCTCAAAATTAAAAAAAAAATTAGACATATTGAAAACAAATACAACATACCATTCTAAATAATTTAATTTGACGTAATCACAAGAGATGTCATTTTCCAGTTTGAAATTGAGTTTCCACTCCTTGACTTTGATTTGGGATTAGAGAAATATAAAATGATGTGTCTATTAATTTCTGGATGCTCGAAACTTACAAATTGAATTTTCTATTTTTATTTTAATTATAATAGTTTGTTAGTTATGTTTTGAATGATTCTGGTGTTGTCTCCATTGTTTTTTCCCTCTTTTTTAGGTTTTGTTATATTTTTGTGCACTTCTTCTTCTTTTTTTTTTCTAATCATTTTTCTATTCTTGTTAAGAGAGTAAAAAAGAATTTGTCATCCAAATTTTGAGATTTTTAGTGAGCTTGTACCATAGGAAAAAGAATATTGTTATAATATTAGTCCAAAGATATCTTTGAAGGTCCATTATCAATCTTTCAAAACGATGCCTATTATTATCATGTCATTAAAAAGTTTTTGAAGTTTTTTCTATTAAAAAATGAGTAAGCCTTGCGAGCAACATGTTTGTAAAACGGAACATTTTAATTTGGCTAATATGAAATATATATTAATTTTATGATATATTATTCACTTTTATCTTAAACTAGTTTTTAGATAACAAAAATCAATTTTTTTGCAGTCTTCCAACAAATATGTGTCTTGAAAAAATGGTGAATTGACATAAATCTTAAAAATAACAAAAATAAATTAAAATTAATCCAAATTACAGAAAAATAAACGGAACTGAAACGTAAAACCCAGGGTAATGAGTCTCCCATATACGTTCTCCAACATCAATTCATCCAAATATCTCATCAAATCACATATCCAAAATATTCATTCTATCGTTATTACCTATGCTGAATTGAAATGGTTATTTCTATTTTGAAAATAAGTATCGTTGTGTTTTATTATTTAGAATATACTTATGTTATTTCTCATATAAGAGCGCAAGCCTTGCGATATGTGTTTTTAAAAAATGCAAATATGTCTCATGTACAGATTATTTTTATCGACTATACCAATGATCTTAAATTGTCCCGATATAGGACTTAGTTAGCTAGTGACAAATTGAATTTTTGAAAATGATTATATCTGTTAACATTGTCAGCTTAGCTTTGTAAGGGTATCCCTTATCCTTCGGTATGCTATGAAAGTTGATATTGACATATTGTTTATCATTTCATATTCTTAGGAGCCATTCCAAATGAAATTGGTGATCTTCAGCAGCTTCATGCAATATATCTTGGAAGTAATCAGCTTTCAAGCACTATACCAACCTGCATGTTTAATAGTTCGGTACGACGATACATTGAACTTCACACCAATAATTTATCTGGGAGTCTGCCAACAAATGTGTGTTCTGGGCTTCCAAAACTTGAAATACTATATCTCTATCAAAATGATTTGTCTGGCGAGATACCCTCCATTTGGCATCAATGCAAGGAATTGGTAGAGTTATCATTAGGGGATAACAAGTTCAATGGAGGAAACATACCAAGTGACATTGGAAATTTGACCAAACTTGAGTGGCTACATCTTAGCAACAGCAACTTGCGAGGTAAGAGTTTTAATTCTGTGGTTGTCTTAAATTTTGTTTTTACTATTTTGATAAGTCATAAATTTAATTTAAATATTACAAACTTAGTGAATAATAATTTTGCTAGATTAATTTTAAAGACATGGAACTTGATGCTTGCTTTTAATCCCAAACTGGATGTGCTTTCTTTTATATATAATTTAATTTTCACACATGTCAAAACATGAAATAAAATATTTAAACTGAACAAAAATAATTAATCAAAATTTGTAGTTAACTTTCATGTGGTGTGGCGTTCCTTCCGTGTCGGTTATTTTCCCCTCCTTTTTGTTGTTGGCGGCAAGTTTTATTAAAATAAATCTAGTTCTATATTATCAGTTAGAGCATATCAGTGTTATTTTTCAAAATGAGTAAGCCTTGAACTATGTTATAAGAAAAAATATAAATTTTGTATCCAGTAGACATAACATGTAAATGAAATATATCATTAAACAAAGTAGAAAACTATTATTTACTGATATTATAAATTGCTAATACGCACAAGTATGTTAATTCATTCGCATTGAACTGGAACAATTTTCTGGCCAAAAAAATTGGAACAATTCTGTAAGTTCAATTCTTGGTAAAATTGAATAACGCTCTTGAACATAAAGATTTTCACCGGTAGTTTCTTAAGAATTATTTAATTTGAAGTTAAAAGAAACATCCAAAAAGCGGAAAAACGTAACAAATGTAGACTCATTATACATTATGTGGAACCTTTTTTTTTTCCCTGTTAAGCAAATATACTTAATGATTTGAAAAATTTTCAGATAAAAAAGCCTGAAATTATGATATTTTAATTTTTAAATAAATTGTTATCACGAGTGAAAGATAAAATAAAAGAGTGAACTTATATTATTTTTTTATTACAGTGTTACTTTTACTTTTAGCATCCACCTGGTATTACAGTGTTACTTTTAATTTTAGCAACCACCTGGTTCGGAGATTAAATCCCACCAACCCCACTGTCCTAGGCAAGGGGTTCCAAAGTTATTTAAAAAAATGGAAAATTTTTATAATTTTTCATGAATTTCAAAATTCTAATTTGATTTTTCTTCATTTTCTATAATTTTAAAGTATTACGCACCTGAATTGAAATAACATAATTCTATGTTTTTTTCCTGTGAAATTTTTGCTAATGAAGTCTCACTAAAATGAGTCATAAAAGGTCAAAAAGATAATATGAGTGAGGCTTATAATTAATTTAGGAATGAAAATTAAAAAAATTCATTAAATGATCCAACACGTCAGGAATGAAGCTTTATAAAAAAAAAAAAAATCAGTTCCTCTTAAAGATTTGATGTTTGTATTTTTCAATCGGTAGGAGCATGTCGTGGTAATGTTCAGTTACGAGTACTGGGCTTTATGCTCTCAAAGCCCATTTGCTAGTGTATGTGTTTTTGCATAAATATAGGCCAATTATCCAGTGTTATTCATGAACCCAGTTCCTCTTTCGCTCAACAATAGACAGATTTTGGTTCTCTCCATTTTTTTTTTGGCATCTCTTTACATTATATTTATACTTTGTGCATATTATACAAAAATATTATAAATTGTTTTATTTTCCTACTTATTATAAATTTTTTATTTTCCTATTTACAAGTCCATTCAGCGTTTTCACAAAGAGAGTTGTTAATGATTTATATTTAAATGCCAAGCTCTTTACGAGTATTGAGATTATTATTTCTTATTTTTCTTCTTTTATTTCCTTTTTTTAATATTCTTCAATAATCAAATAAATTTAAAATGAGATTTTATCTGTTATTTCTTTATCATCGTTCATTTTTCTAGTGGAGGCTTGAATATGGCTAATGATTTATAATAACAAAGCGGCAACGATTTTTTATTTTTTTCTGGTGATATTTTCTTCATTTTGAGGAAAACAAAAATGTGATTTTTTTTGTCCTTTCATTCATTCATTCATATTTTTCGTTTATATAATGGGACTTATGTTAAGCTTGTGATTACAATGCCAAAATAAAAGAAAGATAAGATCAACAACCAATGGGACCGCTTGATATTTAAAACGCGTAAGACATGTTTTTTAAAATCTTACTCTTAACTATCACATCATTTATATATACTTTGATCAATAAAATGGCTTCACCATGTATAATTTTCCCAGGAATCATTCCAAGTGAGATTGGAAACTTGACAAACCTCCAGACTCTTGTTCTTAGCAGCAACAATTTGCAAGGTCAGAATTTTAATTATATGACTATCTTATACCACGTGTGTATTTTTGTTTTGTTTTAATCTCCGGAATGAAAAATAACTTTAAAATGAGATTCTGTTTTTATTTCTTTCATTCATTTTAAAGAATCATGAAAAGGTTTGCGTTCATGAAAAAAAAAAAAAAGCTTAAAAAGAGTCATAACTTATTGACAAGTACTTGTGATGTTTGTGCTTGTCTGTTCATGAAATGTGGCTTATCTATTTTTCTCTTTATTTGGAAAAAGACACATCTAATGGTGATGTTGTCTTTTAATCCCAAAAGCGAATATTGCTTTGTGCATATATACGCGTGTTTGTAGCTTGCTTAGACTGTGTTAATTGAAATTTATACATATATACATATATTCATGTCGCGCATACATTCGTAGCGTGCTTTGAACACCGGTTTTTGTGTTTGTGTATATTACTTATGTGCAAACACTATCTTTTGTGTTTATAAATAAAGTATTCCATTTCTATTTTTTAAAGTGTAGGGGTTGTTAGAAGTCTTGTAAAGAATTTAAGTATAAAATAACTTATGCAATTCAAAACGTTGGTTAAAATTGATTAAAAATAATAAATATGTTAAATATATAACTTATTGTCCTAAAATATCCTCATTTATGGTAAGGCTTATAATTAATTTGGGAGGGAAAAAAAAAAGCATTAAATGATTCAACAAATCTGGAAACAAGCTTATTAAAAAAAAAAAAAGTCCCTCTTAAAGATTTGATGCTTATATTTTTTTACCTAGAGGGGGTATTGGGTTTTAGGCTCTCAGAGCCGAGTCTCTAGTGTCGGTGCTTCTATATAAATATGGGCCAATTATCCAGTGTCATGTATGAACTCATTTCCACTATTGCTGAATAATAATTTTCACCTCTCTCCAATTTTTCACCGGCATTCCTTCACATTATATATGTACTTTATGCATATTATACAAAAGTATTATAAAATTTGTAATTTTCCTATTTACAAGTCCATTCAGCGTTTTCACAAGAAGAGTTGTTAATGAATCATATTAAATGCCAACCTCTTTACAAGTATTGAGATTATTATTTCTTATTTTTCTTCTTTTATTTCCTTTTTTTTTTTATATTCTTCAATAATCAAATAAATTTAAAATGAGATTTTATCTGTTATTTCTTTATCATCGTTCATTTTTCTAGTGAAGGCTTGAATATGGCTAATGATTTATAATAACAAAGCGGCAACGATTTTTTTATTTTTTTTCTGGTGATATTTTCTTCATTTTGAGGAAAACAAAAATGTGACTTTTATATGACTGTGTTAGACCATATGCGTGTTTTTGTTTTTGTTTTAATCTTGAGAATAAAAAATAATTTGAAAATGAAAATTTGTTATTATTTTTTTCATTTGTGGAAGTATGTTATAACAGTTTATTAGGTGTATTTTGAATGAACCTGCGCTTTGGATATTGCTTTAGATTTTGTTTTATTTTTGGCCATTTCTTCTTCTTCTTCTTTTCAATCATTTTTCTATTTTTTTTTAAGAATAAAAAAATTTTGTCATCTGATTTTTGAAATGGTTAGTTATACCAATGGGAAAAAGAATATTATCATAATAATAGCCCAAACAGATCTTTTAGGCTGATTATCAATCTTTGAAAGCAAATGTTTATTTTTATACTCGTATAATTTAAAACTTTTGAAGCTTTTTCTTAAAAAAAAAGACTAAGCAAGCCTTACAAGCAACATGTTTGGAAATTAGAACATTTAATTTTAATTTGCATAACATAAAATATATATTAATTTTATTATTTAATATTAGTTTTTATTGTAAACTCATAATCTTATTTGTCGAATGAAACGGATGCAGCTTACATGATATATAAGAATTTCTCAGAATTAATTAATCCACAAATCTGAAAAAGATAGCAAAAATAAATCTAAAATTATAAATTAATCGAATTTAAATGACAGAATAATAAACTGAACTGAAGCATAAAACACAGTGTAATGAATTGAAAGGGTTTTTTTTTAAAAAAAAAAATAAGTATTTTTGTGTTTCTAAACGCGTAAGTCTTTTTGTGTGTTTCTAAAAGTGTAAGTCTCCCATGCACATAACATTTTTACTGAACCAATAATCTAAATTGGGCAATAAATATTGATAATGAATTGTTCCTGTATAGGACTTAGTTAGCTAGTAACAAATTTAATTTTTGAAAATAATTATATTTTTTTAACATTGTCAGATTAACTTTCTAAGGACATATCTTATCCTTAGGTATATTTTTTAAAATTTTTCAATAAAAATGCAGACAAAAAATGCAACTCCAGATTGAGAAATGTCATAATGTAAACATAAACGAAGAAATATATAATTTCAAAATTACCACAACGTCAGGTAAGAAATTTGATAGATAAAATTTGCTTTCCCCTTTTGTAATATTTATGCATCGATTAATCTGCATAACACAAACATTCAAGTTTTGGGGATCTGCGCGTAAGACACGTATAGTTATATATATATATATATATATATATATAGTACCTATAGGCGAGCAATATTTCCTGCTTTATTTTCCCTTTAAGGTTGGTACACTTATACAAATATATTATTGACTATTTTATTTTTCTATTTACAAGTCCATTCAGTGTTTTAACAATCAAAGTTGTTGTTAATGAATTCTATTTAAATGCCAACCTCTTTACAAGCATTAAGATTATCATTTCTTATTTTTATTATTTTCTTCTTTTTAATATTCTCCATGATAAAATAAATTTAAAATGAGGTTTTATCTTTTAATTTCATTAATATTGTATATATTCATAGCGGAGGCCGAGATACATAGCTCGTAAAACTAAAATGAGATTTTGTTTTTTGTCATTTTATTCATTATATTGTTGATTCATAGAATTTGGCTTATTGATAGCTTATGATTACAATGCCAAAATAAAAGAACTATAAGATCATGAACTGACGAACCACTTGATATTTATAACGTGGAAAATAAATGACTTGTTTGCTTCCTTTTTTTTTTAATTCTTTTTTCCAGAACAATTTCATAATTTTTTTAAAAATAAGTTTTGAGAATAAAAAGATGAAAAATATGTTTGGATGACGATTTTAAAAACCACATTTGAAACAAAAAAAAACATACAAAATCACATTGGGCAGTTTGATTTTATTAAAAAAAAAGTTAAAATGTGTTTTGGATCATTAGAAATATGTGTTTACTGTTTGTTTTTATATATAGAGTAATCCGTTTCTTTTCAACATGCTATGCAGTTTATGTGCTTTAAAAAAGTTTCGTATCTGTAATGTATGAGTGGACGCAATGCTTTTTTTTTTTTTTTTTAATGAAAGGATTTGCATTTGAAAAGATTTTTATGATACATCCAATTCTCTCATCAAAATATATATAACTCAATTCTTATCCTCTTTTAAATTGAAACAGGTGAGATTCCATCATCTCTCCTCAACATTTCTTCTTTAAGAATATTGAATTTAGTCAAAAACAATTTGAATGGTAGTCTTCCAATATCAACTGGCAATGGGACATTGTTGGAAGAATTATATTTATCATGGAACTTGTTTACAGGTATGGCCAATCGACCCATTTCTTTATTTTATGTTTTAAAGATTTTTATTTTTTATTTATACTTATTCTGTATTGCTTGCAAAATTTTTAATTGAGATTGCTTTAACCCTCAATTTGGATGGAGAGAAAAGTTTGGAGGAAAGAGAACTAGGAGAGAAAATAGGAGAGAAAAGTGGGAGGAAGAAAAAATGGGGGAGAAAATGGGGTGTGGGATTCGCCATATTTTCCTCTCAAACTTTCTCTCCACATGTGAAAAGAAAATGGGAAGAAAATACACCTTCCACTACTGCCCTCACATCTGCCCCTCTTTGTTATGATTTTTGTGAGTGAAACTCATGGCAAAACTGAACTTCACATTATAGCTGTTCTTATTATCCCCAGCGATATTGCTTCACATGTGAAAAGAAATTTAATGTTCAATTGATCTTTGATAGTAGAGGAGTCCTTTTTAAATTACTGTCGTCAACCTAAAAACTTTGTTATTTTCTATTAGTTTTAAGCCTTTAATTATCAAAATTCCATGTATTATTTATATGATTGTGTACGTGTGAGTTTATTAGGAAGTTGCGATGCTTGCCATACTACCATGCAATTAACAAATATTTTGTATTTATTTATAGGTGAAATTCCTTCATTTCTTTGGAAAATGCCTTGTTTGAGAATTGTTGAACTTGACAACAATCATTTAAAGGATAGTTTGCCAGAAGAAATGTGTCATCATCTCCCTTTACTTGAAGTCTTTGGTGTTGATGATAATCAATTAGAGGGAAGCATTCCAAGCTCAATAAGCAACTGCACATCTTTGAAAGAATTATATTTGGATGGTAACTCATTTACAGGTATGCACTTATGTGTGTTTGTTTTCTTCTTTTTAATATTTTATATGCACTTATGATAGTACTCATATGATTACAATCCCAAAATAACAAATAAAGCCAGGATTATGAATAGACAGAACATCATGATATTAGTAAGACCGAAAAGTTATATGAAAATAGTTTTTCCTTATTTAGTATATATTTTTTTGAGAAAAATTCTTTTTTATTATCTATAAATTGTAACAATTATATATTGTTTAATTATGCGTAACTTAAATTATATATAATATTTTTAAAAATTTATATCGTAGGAATTGAAAAAATGTACAACAAACAAAAAAATTATTTAGATAATTATAGAAAATCAATTACAAACAAAATTTAAATGACACTAAAAAAATGCTTATTCAAACAAATTTAAGTTCAAATTAATGAACGAGAATGCAACATGTTTTAAATAGTTAGTCAAATTTTTAAATCACATCATTCGAATTCATTTGAGTTTATAGAGGAACTGTTTTATGTTCAATTGTATGTGAAATTAGATAAATTTTTTACAATAGATCTGAAATTAAAAGCATACAAAATCAACAGGAGGGGGAAAGTATATTTTCATAATTTCTCACTTCAACTGTACCATAAAAAATCTCCTGGAGAGAAAAATGGCCGGGAAAAAAAAGTTTAATGCTTTATGACACACATGATTTATTGGCAACGCACAAAATATTTACGTAGTTAAACTTAACAGACTCACATGTAATTTGTTAAGAAATTTCCTTCCTCTTCCTAATATTAATAAGACACGTGAAGTTTTTTTAATAGTACACATGTATATTACTTCATGCAAATAATATGACCTGCTTTATTTTTTCTTCTTATAAGTCTATTCAATTATATTTGGTTGCCAACCTTTTTATAACCATGAGATTATTACATCTTATTTTTATTTTTCTTTATTTTTAAAATCATTTTTTCTAATAGACTAAATTTAAATTGGGATAATGTTTTTGATCATTCATTAATATCGCACTATTCCCAGTGGGGGGGGGTTTAAATGTAGCTAATAATTTACAATCCAAAATATCAAAAGATCAAATCATGAATTGATGGTTGTCTATGAGATCTTGTTTTTCGATATTAATTCATTCATACAATTCTAAAATAAAATAAAGATGGCGTCACGAGCTGATGGGGCCACTTTGATATTTAAAAAACTTGGAAGACAACATTATTCAAGTACTTTATATAATTTATACTCTAGTCAATGAAAAAGCTCAACATCGTATATAATATGCCCATGTGTTATGCGCACACACTCAAATATTCTATTGTTCTCCAATTAAGTTCAACTCTTTTTTTTTTTTAACACCTTGGACCTAATTAAAGAATACAACCTTTCGCTTTTTTTTTGGTGCCAATTTGGTCAATTGTTTCTTTTTCTATTTCACAAATTTAGTAATTTCCTATCGCACCATAAACTTTGATTTTTAAACAAATCTTCTATAACCATGACATCCCAAAGGTAGTCTTAAAAGATTTACCCTAATTTTTTTATTTTAAAAATTTTTCTAGGACTTAAAAAATAATAGAAATAAACTTATTTGTATATATTCCTCTTTGAGCTATATAAAAGTCATGATTCGCATCAATTTTTTACGTATAGGTTTTATACCTAGAGGCATGGGCAAACTTGATAAACTTGAAGTCTTAAGTTTGTGTTCCAATAATTTGAAAGGAGCTATTCCTCCCAGTATATTCAACATCTCAACATTAACAGACTTGCGCCTTCATAGGAATTCTCTTTCTGGCCTTCTCCCATCATATTTAGGAATTGGCCTTCCCAACTTGAAGATTCTACACTTGGACACAAACGAACTAATTGGACAAATTCCAAACAGTATATCAAATGCTTGTAACCTTATCACATTAGGTTTGTCATGGAATAAATTTAGCGGAGCTATACCTAAAGTACTCGGAAATTTAAGGAACTTGATGGAATTAGATTTGGATGGGAATAATTTGACTGGGTTCATTCCGAATATGGTTAACAAATTACATAGCCTTCAACGTTTAAGTCTCAGTGATAACAGATTGCAAGGGTCCATTATAAATGAACTTTGCCGACTCAAAAGTCTAAGTGAGTTGTATCTTGCCAACAACATATTTTCAGGAGCGATTCCAGGATGCCTCGAGAATACTTCATTGCGGAAGTTGAATTTTAGCTCTAACAAATTGACTTCTCATATACCCTCTTCTATTTGGAATCTCAAAGATATCTTGATTTTAGACATATCCTCCAATGCACTAAGTGGAACAATTTCACCAAAAGTATCAAACATGAGAGCAATTATACTACTAAATTTGTCCAGAAACCAAATATCAGGAAGCATCCCTGCAACTATGGGTAGCTTGCAAACTTTGCAAAGCCTATCTTTGGCTCACAACAAATTACAAGGACCTATATTTGAATCGCTTAATGGCATGATAAGCATTGAGTCCATGGATCTTTCCCATAATTATTTATCTGGTGTGATTCCAAAGTCTTTCGAGTCATTACTCTATCTTAAATACATCAATCTGTCCTATAATTTATTGCATGGAGAAATCCCAAATGGTGGGCCTTTTCAAAATTTTACAGCTCAGTCTTTTATGATGAATAAAGATCTTTGTGGGAAATCCCAACTACAAGTCCAACCATGCAAAAAAGAAAGGAATTACATGACAAAAAAAGTGAAGTTGTTGATAAAATGCTTACTTCCTATTGTGGTTGTCATTCTGGTTGTTTCATGCATTGTCTTTCTAAGACATAAGAGAGATGTGTATGCTAGTGGTTCAACCAACAATGAGTTAATAAATGTAGGGACACCAATTAGGATATCCTATTATGATCTTTTGCATGGAACAAATAGATTTGATGAGAGTAATCTTCTTGGCATTGGATATTATGGATCAGTATACAAAGCAACTCTTCCAAACGGAAGGATCGTTGCTGTTAAAGTATTTCGCTCAGACTTGGATGAAGCATTAAGGAGTTTTGATATTGAGTGTGTTGCAATATGCAATTTACGACACCGCAACCTTATTAAGAATATTAGTAGCTGCTCCAATGATCATTTCAAGTGTCTAATAATGGAGTTCATGTCAAATGGGAGTCTCGACAGATGGTTATACTCTCATAACAATTGTTTAGACATCCTAACAAGGTTGAATATAATGATTGATGTGGCAGTTGCGTTAGAATATCTTCATCATGGTTCTTCTACACCAGTTGTTCATTGTGATGTTAAACCAAGCAATGTCTTGTTAGATGAAAATATGGTGGCTCATCTCACTGATTTTGGTATAGCTAAATTGATGGGTGAAGAAGAGTTGGAAATTTATACAAAAACTTTAGCTACAATGGGTTATATGGCACCAGGTAATAATTTACTAACCAATTTTAGTTTTAATTGTTTGCATTTTTTTTGTTTACTATCTTATAAAAATAAATATTATTATTCAATTACTAACAAAATATTTGTTGTCTTGCATGCATGAGTTTATTGTATTAATACAGTTGGATTTTAACTACAAACACATTACATTCTTTTTTGACGAAATGGCATTTATACTGGCAATTCTACTTGATATATAGAGTATGGATCAAAAGGAGTTGTTTCCATTAAAGGAGATGTGTACAGCTATGGTATTTTGTTAATGGAAATGCTTACGAGAAAGAAGCCAACAGATGACATGTTTGCTGAAAGTCTAAGCTTAAAAGATTGGGTTAGCACATCAACACCTCATTCTGTCATTAGTATTCTAGATGCAAATTTGCTGCACAATCAAAATATTGGTGATGTATCACCACATATGTCATCAATTTTTGAGGTGGCATTAAATTGTTGCGTTGATTCACCTGAGGCACGACCTACAATGATTGATGTTGTGGTATCGATCAAAAAAAGCAAGTTTGCATTAATACAAATATTAGAGGCACCCCAAGTTAAATAATTGTTAAATAAAATTTTTTACTTTCTGTTTCTTGCCCCTTTGGTTTGGTTTATTTATGAGCTATGTAATAATCTTATCAAAGTCGAGTAAAGATGCTTACCATGCAAATGCATTAAGTGTTCAAAGTTTGAGTTTTTTCTTGACCATGTGTTTCGAACATCTCTTATTATAACCTGAAACCCTGGCGCAAGGGGGAAAAAAGAATAACAGAAATCTGAATACTCCACTTTTTTTCCCCGAAGATTCCAAATGCAAAATGGAATTTGATTTATTATAAATTTCATCATATAATTTTGTTACATCAAACAATCAAAAGGAAGGAAGGGATATTCTTAAGTGATTGATCCTGTATAATTTTGTTATTATAACATAGCAAAATTATTGTCACACAACTCATCACTCAGAGAATTTACGGGCAACTTTAAATAAAATCAAAACTTTAATATGTTTTTATAAAGCCTTCACGTAAAGACTTTAATATTAATTTCTGATAAGAATATAATTTTTTGAGCTTACTGACTATTATTTTCAGCAAAACCGATTTGCAATTTACTATATTCTAGTATAAATTCTTTTTCTAGGATGTTGGTATTTTTTGTTCCTATAGCATATTACTTGCTTATAAATTATGCATAATCAAGCATGCTAATATTCATTTAAATTAAAATCCCTTAAATAATAAATCTTAAGTAGATAAATTAGCAAAAACCTCTAGAAACTTCATAGTGAACTCCAATAACATCTAATGATTCTAAAAGTGAAGACCCTTAAATATAAAAAATTGCCCGTTTTAAATTCAAATTGTTAAATAATATTTCTATTTTAATTTGACAGGGTCAGTGTTATCATTTTGATATTCTATTTTTAAACGACTTAAGTATGCACATAGCTTAACAAAATCAAGCTTTTTTTTAGGAACTAAAATCAAGCTTATTCTCGTTCTTGTCACAACATTATCGTCACAAGTGGGTTGTGATGATGATGAACATTAGCAAAAGAATATTAGCATATCAATTTAGCCTTTCTTCTAGGTCCTTTTTGCAGTTCTCTATAGTTATTTTACTTCAAACATATTTAAAATTTTTTTGGTGAATATAGAAAATTATCTGCTTTTAACAAACTATACTACTATTTAAAGCAAAGTAGTTACAAAAAAGTTTGAATTAATAGGAGAAAGAGATGTGAGAAATAGTGACAATGTCGAGGAGCTTAGACGCAACCTATTTGTGACAAAAATGGGAGAGCAAGCTTGATTTTGCTAGAGTAAAAGTAGAGCTAAGTCATTTAAAAATAAAATAAAATAGTTACAAAATTCTAGGATTACTTATATTATACAATTACCATTACAAAACACATTATTAGGAGTATATAGTGTAATTAGAATTGTTTCTGTATACAGTATTAAGCCTTAGGTTCGTGAGTTCATGCCCAATGAGGTCTAGTTCAATTGTACAAATGTAAGTCTAGTCTTGTTAATAGCGTGCGGTATGGAGCTCATCATCCATAAGTTTAGTTGTAAGAACTGCATCCTCTCACCCAAACGGGAGGGGTTTGATTTCCCGTGGCGGTGCTTGAGGAGGCATTCTAGAACAGGAGTGCCTAGGTTAATGCCTAAGGGTATAATGTAGGTTCACCCTGCCTTTAGCTTGGTTTGAGCCCGAAACCCTGCCTAAAATTTATTTATTAAAAAAAAAAACGTGTATGCATTTTAAATTAGTTTAGTAGAATCATTTCAATTTCCATTCCAATGGCTTTGTGATCATGGCATTCGAGTCTAGGCTCTTCAAGATCCATCACCAAAATTTCAAGAGGGCCTAATAACGCAGGCCATCCTTATAATTGGGAATCCAAGAATGATCAAAAAACATCCAGAGAATAATGTTAGATGTGTATTCTCCTTCTCTCTTGAACCAAGGAACTCATAAATCCTCTTTTGAAGCAAGAAACACGTGAACCCTAGATCAGAAAACATGACCATGGCAGACGAGAAAGCATTTGGTGATTAATCTAGCCATCATCGCCCATCCACTCTACATCTCGTTGACACGTAAGGAGTCACAATCATTACTCTAATCTTGACTGGTAGTGAAAATTATTTGATTTGGAAGGTGATATTGTTACTCAAGGAAAGCACAAGATAAGCTTGGTGGATGGTTCTTGTAAGAAAGAGGATCAAGAGAACACCTTTGTGAGTAGCAGGTGAGGTGCAATGCAATAGCTCTTCCTTGGATTTTGAATTATGGCAAGGATTCGCCTAAAAGAAAAGTTTGATAAATTTTCAGGACCTTGGATATTCTCATTACGCTAAAAAATCAAATCACTTCAAGTTGATGAGTTAAGATAATGATATAAAAATACACGTGAAGTTTCTAAAATAGTGTGAAAATACATCTAAGGTTTCTAATAGCCATAGTATTTTTGCATTATTTTGGAAACTTTGTGTATGTTCTCATTATTATTATTTTTTTTACCTATCTGTTTGCCAAATAGTCAATGTTTGTTGACTTAATGACCATAGCATTTTTGCACTATTTTCATGTATACTTTGACAACTAAGAAAAGTTTTTCGTATTAGATACTCATGACAAAATACTTCATGGGCAGATATACACTTTAACCCTTTAGAATATTGGGTAATGCTCAAAAAATATTTCAGGATGCTGGATATACTAAAAATCAATAAATTTGAGAATACTGGATGCTTTTGAAAAAAATATTATAAGATTTTGGATGCACTAAAAATTAATCAATTATAGATGGGAAACATTTGAAAATTGGCAAACGTGACTCATCATAATCCACTGCTCAAAAAATTTGAAAAGCATAAACGTAGAATGCACACCTTTCATGATTGCCCACAGAAGGCATAGAATCCTAGGGCTATTCACGGGACGGATCGAGACCGGAACAGGCTCGTCTCGGTTCCGTCCCGATGAACAGTAACGGGACAAATTTTCTGTCCCGTGTCCCGGTCCGTCCCGGGGTTGTCCCGGTTCCGGTCGGGACGGGACGGATCCGGGACGGGACTGGGACGTCCCGAATTTATTTTTTTTAATTTTTTAAAAAAAATCTGATTTTTTTTAATTATATTTTTTTGGGCTTAAACCTTATAAAAACATCTTTTTATTTTCTTTTTTATTTGTTTGGGCACTTTTAAACCAAAGCTCAAAATATTACATATAATAGTTATTAAAAACTTTAAACAAAAGCTTTTAACAAAATAAAAACTTGCTAAAAATTCTAATCATCAATGATCCCAAATCATTAACAAATATAAAACTCTAAATAAATATTTCCATATTTACATACAATAGTCTCAAATCTTAAAAAAATATAGAAAAAAATGATATTATATAAATAGGATAAAAAATTAAAAAAATTTAAAAAAAAAAGAACCGGGACGGGACCGGGACAGGACAACCCTGTCCCGTGTCCCGTCCCGTCCCGGTTTGTCCCGTCCCGTCCCAATAAGACCGGGACGGGGACGGGCCGGCTTTGAACACCCCTATAGAATCCTCAACTCCCTCCGTACTTGCAGCAAACCAACTGTAATTTGGGACACTCATCACTTATTCTATTTTTTAAATTTATGAGTAAAGATTATTATTATTATCATTATTATTAAAATAACCATAGTGCAAAATTATTGTTTCTAGAGTTATGCGTTTATATTTTAGATAGTTATATTTGTCATGTTAGAGTATTATTATTTGACTGATGATGATAAAACTTTTTAAAAATTAAATATTTTAGCTATTTCAAATATAAAAATCTGATATTCAAAACCATTCTGTTAACTAAGGAATGAGAAAATGGGCTATTTCTCATCTATAAGAAAATGCACACACTTATTTTTCTATTTAGAATCACTGAAGAAGCAATCAATAAATAAAAATAGGAAGTACGAGAGAGAAAATAAATATCTATTTAAAATGTTGAAACCTAACGAATAAAAAGATAATCGGTTAATGGGATAGGGAAGTTATATAATTTTTTATATTATTTAATTTAAAATTTAAAATATTTATTAACACCACAAGATTAATGCAAATTTCAAATTTTAAAAATATATCATGGCTGTTATACATGCCATGATTTTTGGGGTTAAGAAAGCTACTTCATGCAATTCAAACATCAAATATATTAAATGTTTTAGACATATAAGTATCTGTGAGTCTTCGTCATAAGGGTCTTGGGAGGCTTTTGTCGGTAGAGGGACTTGTGACCTATTTGGTGGAGGTCTGACAGCACTCATAAGATTTAATAAAATGAGATATTTTTTATCTAATAAAAAATTAAGTAAAAAATGCATTATGAAGTGATGAATGCATATAAATAATTTAAATAAGCAACTCAACTAAAATAATCTAAATAGAAGTAATATGAGATAACTGTTAGATTCATTATGAGAGCTAATTGCCAAATATTAAGACATGATTAAAAAGAAATGTTTTAAAAAAATTAAGACACATTTATTACAAATAAGCAACTTAACTTATTATTTTAATATTCACAAATTAGTTATCTAGCTCTTATATGAATTAAAAATTGTTTCTTGTGAAATGGAGACTTTAAAGTCTACTAACAGATCAAGCACATCATACATCAACTAGTGGATGGTGTCAAATCCCGACTTTTGGATCTAGAAGTACCAGAATTAGCCTGAGATGGGCAGGCTACCAGACCTTTTTTGGCAGAGGTCCCAGAGATTTCCTGAAAGGACAGAGGGATTCCCAGAGACTAAATCACAAAAAGAAAGTTTTCTAGGACTGAGAAAAGAGAAAGTTAGGGACTCTAGTGAAATCTCGAGGCCCAAGAGTGAGAAATAGAGATGAATGCAGGCCAATAGTTATGTTGGAGGCCTAAATGATGTGAATTTTGACGTCAAGCCAAACCAGGGGCAAAATCATAATTTTGTAAAGTTTTAGGCTGGTAAGGGCAAAAATAAAAATTATATTAAAAAATCCCAGAAAAACCTCATAAAAAAGAAAATAGTAGGT